AGGATATTTCCGCAAGCATGAATCGGGTGATTAATCGTGACACGTCTCGTCATTGTCACTAGATACCCTTTGTTTGATAATGCTTGACATTCGTGTTTATTGCCACATCTGCAGCCTACGCTCGTTGGGTATTTAAAGGCCGGTAATTAGAATTCATGCTGAACAAAAGAGTGTTAAATTTAGTGTTCTAATTAAGTCTAGTCTTTTAAAAGGAATATTTATAAATGTTTCGAATGTGAGATGATTTCACAATTTTTCATAAGCTGTTATAGTGTAATTATAGTTCTCTCATATTATATTACACATGCATATGCCAATAATATACGATATTATTATAATTTCAAAGTATATATAAAAACATAAACTAGATATTTAATTCATTTAATCTTCATTTTCAATGCAATTTCCAAAATTTATTCAATTTTTGTTTCTGGTACATATTCCAAATCATGTTCCAATTTTGCTCTAAATAACAATTACATATGTTCATGTTGTTTATCAATCAATTTTTAATATACTTCCTAGAATAGTATTAATAACATAGATAATTTTTTGTATATTTGTGTGCTGTATTACTTGCAAAGGAAAGCGAGGCATAGTCAACGTGCACGCAATGTCCGGAAGCGCGGTTTCGTTTTTATGAAGTAGTGAAAGTAGGATTATAATCGCAACACAACGGCTACAGCGCTACTAAGATCTCTGGTACATCGTTTCATTAAAATTTAATAAATAACTTGTTATAATTGTTACGCACTGGCTGCACTATTACTTTTTGGTGCCAGTTAATTAATGCGCATCATTCGCATGCGCAATTTCTCTAGTCCATTAAAATTATATTATCAATTATTATGTTCCATTCATCCATTAAGTCCATCATATGTGCATAAATTGTATATAAATACATATTAATATATGACATATAAATATATAATATTGCAATGTAAACATATTGCAATGCTATGAATGTATTTCTGTTCGCTTTCGAAGACAAATTTACATTACAAGCTAAGAGAAAATGACCCATTTTTATTTCATAATATTTTTCATACAATATATGATATAATGTATTTATTCCGTTGAATAGCAAATATGTTTATATAATGATATATACTTTTAATATGGCTATCATTCTCAAATTTAATTCTGCAGAAATATTATAAATACAAAAAAGATTTAATATAAAAATTGTGCACATATAATATTACTTGTGTTCATATAATATTACTTGCCATTAAAATATTATAGTACTTATTAAAATCAGTAAATTTTGTGCAGTATTTTTTATTTTATTTTACATAATAATTTTTTTAAAACGCTTGTGTAGCAATCAACGAGCTGCAATTTTTTTAATTAAACACTGATGCAGAAAAACGTATTGTTGAACAAATTTTTGCGGCAACGATTTCTATTTGACGGTTTGTTCTTAATTATCTCCCACGAATATATCCATCATGTAGATAAATATTATACCATGTAATATTATTGTACGTTAATGAATACTCTGACACTGAAATAATATTATACTTTGTATACGCTGGGTTAAGATAACAGAGAACAGCAATGAAGCATTTTCTGATAGCATTTTGCGAAAAGTAAAGCTTGGTTTTCTTTCCTCTTAAGTGTGTCTCGTCATTAAAATTCATCAACGGGTATATGTATATCGAGACACCAATATTACTATAAAAATGGTACGAAAATCCGTCTTTCTAGTTTGCAAACACATAATTACTTTTATTTTGTAGCACATAATATTTACTTTTATAAAAAGAAAATGGGAGCAAATCAAAATTTTCTTCCCGTTTATAAACAGGTGAAAATAAAACGGAAAGAATTTAATTACAGAAAAATAGACCTATGTTGGTAGAATTATTTCAGAAGCAATTACAAGCGGTGGTTACAATAATTGCACGTGCGCGGCGGATATTCTTTTCATATCAGCACGCTCTGATCGCACATTACTTTTTGCGGCATGTTAAATATTAGTTTTATGCTGTAGTTCTTTTATTATTTACTGTGACCGCGTATAGGAAAATAAAGCTTTCAAAATACTGACGTCAATTTTTCTACACGCGACAAAACAAAGAGAATACGAAAGCACGCAGTGCGATGCTGTTTCTGGTTAAAAATTTAAACACTTAATATTTTTGCTTTGCTTAGTAAATTTTATTTTTTTAATGTACACTTTTATAAAAAGATATATAAAAGTACATAAAAGCTTATATTAATAAAAAAATTATTGTGAGATTGAAAGAGTATAAAACTTTTGCCAAAAGGTTAAACACTTTGCCATAAATTCGAGCTTCTTCATTCTGGCAAACAGAATCGAGGAAAGGCAACATTACAATGAGAAATCATTTCAATTACATTGATGAGGAGTTCTATCGAACAGAACAATAATAGCAACAATAGCGTAGTTTCCAACAAATTGCGGAATATTTCGTCATGGCGAGGTATCTAAATGCACAAGAATTCGACTTTGTGATAGATGAAACTAACACCACGATTTCATTTCTCCCCATTGCAATTAAACCAACAATCACAATGACAAAGGCAGTAATAGGCGGTGATACCCGATGACGTAATTAGTAACGGGATCCCCTCATTGTCAATCGCTACTTTTTTCGAGCGAGTGCAGCGAAACATGAGACAATACATCGACATGATGGAAATAATTTCTTTGACCTAGTCATTAAAAATGAACATTACGACATTTTCCTGTAACAATATATTTTTAATAATGTAACAGATAATTATTTTGCAATACACAATCTTCGTCAAAAATATGAAAAGATTAAAAAAAACATTGTTTACAAATATTCACAAATTAAAGATACACACATATAATTTTTATTCTAAATTAAAATATTAAATATTATAAAATATGTTGAAACTTTATAACAAAGTATTTAAATGTTTGAATAATTCTCGTTATAATTATAAAATAGTATCGTAAATTATATTAGGAACAAATTAAAGCTGTGATTTTATCATGCTAATGTGTATTGATGGTGCTTTATAATATTTATCCGTAATATATAACATGTTGGTATTGTATTAGTAATCATTAATGATTCGTATCAGCAAGAGGAACAATATTTAATAATATGTAAATCTCTTATTAAGCAATAGGTATTATGCCATATATTATATTAACATTATGCATATCGAGTTGTGCCTGAATCGTTAAATAACTGTTTCACTTTAATACTCCTGATCCAACGACAACCATCATCTTGCTATGGCGGGCACCAAATTGACGCTCTAATAAGAGAATTATCTAGCGACGTTACCGTGTTAATCCGCGAGCGAAATAGCCGTCCACTTCAATGTGTTTGATTTAATGCGGCGCGCGCCCGCATGTATTCACGTGACAAATCACGATGGAATCTTTCGAATAGTACGGTACTAATATAGAGAATTGCCGGACGTGGTTGACGTGCGATTGAAAATAGACGCTTCCGGTTTCTCCTTAACACATACGACCATAACACGTAATGTGTGCCACGGCGACTTGCTAGTCGCTTTCAAATCGAAACTAACGCGGAAATCAAACACGGATGGACAATCGTGCGAGTAATGATGGCTAGTCATGCATGCTTTCTTTCCATTTGCATCCGTAAAATGTCAGCTTTAATAAAGTTTTTAAATTGAAATAAAAATTGCGTGATATATAAAAAGAATACTTTTAATGTGACATTTTAGATATCGACTGAAACTTTTCGATATCAAATGTCATAGTTTAATCGGGATCAGCATAATAATTGCGTTCATTAATTAAATAAGTAGAGACTCTGACAAATTAATTATATAATTATACGCATTAGGCAAGCATCGATAATTAGGTTGCCCGAATTTATTCTCCACTGATTAGAGAATTACGCTAATTCAGTATCACTATATGCAGTATCACTAATTCAGTATCACAGTGCTATTAAATATAAAATCAGTGGAGTCGTTGCAATTCGTCGGCAATCTAATCGGCAGCTACGTGTGACTTAAAGTCGTTTACGACATCGCCTTATCTTATCTTAGTCGTTTTGACGCATATTCTTAGGTAGCGAAATCTCATAAAGTGCAACCAAGTAAAGTGAAGGTGCAACGACCCTCTAGATGACTCAGATCCCTCAATAAATTGGCAAGGCTGGAAATAACATTTTTTCCAGCGATTCTTCCTGTACCTGACACATTAATTAAGAGCCGATCGAAAAACAATTGAATGTTGCATGAAAAATGCACAATTTTTCTATTTTACATATTAAACTGATGAAAAATGTACACAAATATTAAGAAAAATAATTCTTCAGAAAATTCGAACAAATTATGCAGCATTTATTTTATACAATAAAATGTCATTACTTTTTTCTCGATAATTTGTGATTTTAAAATAGTTGTACGTGCCGTATCGGAAACTTGATATTGTCTCACGTCTGTCAAAGTATCTGAAAGAGTTTAAAACTAGTGTCGGTTTGCACAGGTTTCAAGAAGGCCGCCGGAAATAGCAGTGCTTCTACGAAGAAAAGAATCGTCTCATGACCTATGTGTACTTGCAACCAACTCGAGAAAGGGTACGTAGAAATACGTAATATTACACGCAACCATCTTTTTCGAGAAATAATAGGAAAAAAACTGAAAGAATAAAATTAATGTTTTATGTTTATATTAACATTTTTTAAAGCAAATATTACATATATTTATTGGTGTTCCAGACAAAATGCATCACTTGTTAATAGCAGATTTTTGAGGTCATAACGAAAATCTTTATACCAAAATGTCGAGACTACAATAATTTTTAAATGGAAAGTATTTAAAAGTGATCCATCTCAGATTGTCAAAAATTCACGCGCTCAAGCACACTTATTGATTTTTATATTCTTATTATATAAGAAATCTCAAAAATTTGTATCAATAGATGATACGATTAGTTTAAAATATCTTGAATAATTTACGCTCTTTGTAAATATATTCTCTTAATGATATTAAAACAATTTGGATTGATTTACCTGCACGATGCGCAGTAACGAAGTTGTTCACAAATTGATCTGTAACATACAAAGTACATTCATATTATAGCAGCGTTTAAAATAATTATTTGAGAAATAATTATTACGCACATTAAACTTTTATTCACATATATTTTTTTATGCAAATATGAAATAAAAGAATTATATATTTATATCCATAAATATTAAAAATTGCAAAATTTTTACTACATATTTCAAAGTTTCTATATGTGTTACATAACATTTTACGTGCAATATTTTACAAATAACAAATAAAATGATTACTTACTCTAAAATTGCTCTGCCAGCACCGGATGCTTTCCTGAGGCTCCTCCTTCTCTCACTTCTCCTTGCAGTCTTTTAAGCGACTCACAGGCGTTTGCGATGCGAATACGAAAATCGCACGATGTTTTAAACGGTACTTTTGACATACTTTTATTTGGTCATTTGGTAAAACTCGAATTTCATCGCACGGATTACACGTTTGACACTGCCGCGTCCATAACAAATAACGACGAAAAGGGTGAGATTAAAAACTGCAGGAAATAGAAAGAAAAATACTATTGGAAAAGATAACGCGTCGATACAGAACGATTGATCTTGTACGAGGTGCCGCCGTGCGAACGATAAAAGTACAGCAAACATATGAAGGATAAAATGGCGCCGATTCCGATTTGGGGAATGCAAGGAGTAAGATGTAACAATGTGCATTCCGATACATAGCACAAGAGAAAGAGAGAGAAGAAAGAGGGGATACAAATCACGCAGACTAAGGGCGGCGAAAACAACCCCATCGAATGCCACAAATCGGCCTCGAAACTCTTAACACTGGAACATTTATCGAAGTCGAGATAAAATCGAGTTTAAACTCGATTTCAAGAAATATTCGATAAATACTCTAGTGTTAAAAGTTTCGATACCGATTCGCAGCGTGTGGTGGGGTTGTTTACGTCGTCGCGTTTAGTCTGCGCGCTTCATATTCCTTCTCTCTCTTTTTCTGTCTCTCTCACACGTCCTATGTATCCGCACGCTTGTGTTGTTTTTTCTCCGCATTCTTCCAAATCGGAATCGACGCGACTTTGTCCTTGATATGTTTATTGCCCCTTTATCATTCGCACGGCGGCACTTGTACGGGGTAGATTACGCGTTCCGTATCCTCTCCAATAATATTACTCTTACTACTTCCCGTTTTCGATCTCATTTTCCGTCGTTATCTATTGTGAAACGTGTCGACCGTGTATTCCGTGCGTTGATAATCGAGTTTTTTTACTTTGTCGAATGTCGATAGTGCCGTTTAAAACATCGGACAATTTTCATATTCGCGTCGCGAACGTGTGTGAGCGCCTTGAAGGACTGCGAGGACTGAGAGGAGGAAGAGGCTCAGGAGGAGCATCGGGTGCCGGCAGAGCAACTTTAGAGTAAGTAATTATTTATTTGTTATCTATTATTTGCACGTAACGTAAAATATTAATGTAACACACATTGAAATTTTGAAATATTTAGTAAAAGATTTGCAATTTTTAATATTTATGGCTATTAGACATCAATATACAATTCTTTTACAGATATTTGCATAAAAAATATATGAGTAAAAGTTTAATATGCTTAATAATTATTTCCTAAATAATTATTTTAATAAACATTGCTATAAATTATATACTTTATATGTTACAGATCAACAACTCTGTGAACAACTCTGCTGCTGCACATCGTGCCGGTAAGTAATCCAATACATTTTATTTTAATATAATTAAAAGAATAGATTTAAAAATAGCGTAAAGTATACAAGGTATCTCAGACTAATCGTATCACCTGTTAATAACATTTCTTAGGTTTCTTACATGGTAAGAATGTAAAAATCAATATGCGACGTGCTTGAATTTTTGACAATCTGATTGGTCAACTACACACATTCCATTAAAAAATTGTTGTATAGCGGTATTTTGATATAAAGATTTCACCCCTGTCGAGCTGCCCCCCCCCACCACAAATAAAAAACCAATAGCGCAAAATTATAAGCTATTTATGAGCTTTCATATTCCGCAAATTAAAATTTTTGAGCTCGTCATGCTGAGCATGAATTTAATGTTTTTCGTGGGGGGGCTGAGTCGATATCGATCGCCCTAAAGATTTCCGTCTCCAAATGACTTCAGAAATCTGCTATTAACAAGTAATACAGTTGATCTGGGCTCACCCTATTTAATAATTTAAACATCATTAATATTAAAGATAAACATAACTATATCAAGAATTTTTTTATTTAAACTTTATATTATTAAAAAATTAAAAATTATTTTAATACACAAGATATAATATAACAAGCGATATCAGGGAAAAATATTAAAATTTACTTTTAGAAATAGGTTCTCGAGTGAAAATATTTACTGTTTTCTCGATAGAAAAAGGCATATATCTAGCTTTAAATAAAATATATTCGCAATTTTCGAGAAAGATTGAACGATTCTAGCCGTCAATATCTCTCGAAGATAAACTTCCATTGAGATGCAACAACACTGTCGAAGAGAAAGAGGAAAATTTCATTTAGGGAAATAGAGAAAACTTGAATCTTTCGCTTTCGCGCGATTGTATACAGGACATTTTTAATTAACCAAAGGAGAGACGCATCAAACGCAGGAATCTCTAATGGCGAGAAACAATTCTAAAGACGCCCCCCCAAGCGATCTCGTTGCTTTGCAATTATGTAGAGAGAATTTTTAATTAAGTTAAGAGCAACATCTTCAAACGGAGAAATCCGAGAAACAACTCGCGTTACTTTGCTTTGAACTATTTTGCGAATGTGACTATACATACGAGAAAATTTAATCAACGCTACAAACTAATATTACGTTACAACAAATTTGCACAAAATGATCTACGCGCTTGTACAAACATCGTACGACAAAGCTTGTTTCATGCAATATTCATTTTATTAATAAATTCTCAATATCGGCAATTTTACAAAATCAATAATAAGATATAGAACGAAAAGATGCACTGTATATATTTAGAAATAATTTATTTAGAATTTTTAAGTTTGTCCATAATTTAAATTAACAATCATATTAGGATATAAATCACTTACATAGAGAAAGAACAAAATTTACATGATATAAAAGAAAAGAATTTTATATCAAAAGTAAGATGTGCAATCGCTTTTCGTGCAATCTTTCGTGAAAACTGTGAAAAATTCCTCTTTCGAACGTACATCAACCAAAAATATTACAAAGATACAAAGTGATGTAAAATGCAAAGTTGCTCACAGTGATGTAAAATGCAAAGAAATTGCATTCTCGGTACGCGTGTTATGTCGCATATGAGAGAGATTCCTGATCCCTCTAGATTTTAACTTTGTATCGCATATATCTAACAATAAGTCCGACAATCCTTTCAGGAAGAAAAATAAAACTTCAATATCAAAGGATTGATATTATTCGTTCTGCACCATAAACAGCCATATAGAGCGTATTTTATAAAAGATTTATTTATTACTGATTCTTTTTTAGCAACTCTTATTCATACATTTATAAACATACATTCGACACTTTCCGTGAATTATAAAATGGAAGTTTCTTAGTCTTTTGTTCTTAGAATTATTTTTAAACATGATAGAAATATCTACTTCGCCGAACGAAGAGCCATAAAAGTTAAAGGTTGCAAGTGTAACATATTACAAGCATAATTGAACACGTGTTCCGATATATAACCATTGTTAACGATACAACTTGCCTCTCACATTTTTTATCGATATTGCAATCAGTTTTTTCATCGTTTATCTCGTGCACAGTGGAAAGTATTAAACTATATAAAAATTCTTTCCTTACTTTTTTGAAGAGAAAAATTAGTTTGTCAATCTATATGTACGCAAAAATGCTCGCGCATTATTCAAATTAATTAAACATATATTTCAGATAATTTATATCTTGCATGTAGATATTCACTCATAATAATAAAATTATTCATATCGCTTATAAATATTCAATTCAATTATAATCGAACCGATAATCTCGGAAAAAATGCTATCAAATCAAATTCCGATTATATATACTTTTACATTTATTTTAAGTTTAGAAATTCTTATTCATCTACGCGTCTACACCTTTATATTTCTAGATTTATATTTTTAATTGCATCTAATTCCACGAAACTTTTGATTCAACTATCTAAATTTCCAATATCTTTGCATATTAAGAATCTCGCAATATCTTTGCACATTAAGAATCTCGCAATATCTTTGCATATTAAGAATAAACAAGAAACGCCGTAAGCGAAATGCTGTAAAGATTCCCACGGCATATTTCGCAACGTGCGCGCAATGCAAAATTCCCTTTGACTGCGTAGCAGGCAGTAAAAAGCTCCGCTAAATGAACAATTCCGACACGCCGAGTATGTACTCCCATAGAGAACGATGGCAGATAGGTGTGCCATTTGCGAGTATGTTACCTATATTCATGCTGAAATAAAACGCGGCGAGGCTGCGTTTCTCGTGAGCTCGGCCGACATCGCCCGTCTCTTGACCTGACATTTAACGCCATTGCACAAGTCGCGGTTAATCTTTGCTCTGTCCGTGCGGCGAAGATGTCTGTTTACCGGCGATGACGGTGTAAATGAAGGGAAACGAGATATGTATCGCGATACATATCGCCAGGATATGACGACGCTCGTGCCAACTTACTTGAACGTGAAAGGTTCGCGGCTCCCTTCCATTCTTTCGATATGTAACGCCGATTTATTTCATCACGTGTGCGATATATCCAGCGCTTCGATTAACATCGCGGTCATCAATAACAAAAAAAAACCGTTGATTACATAGATTTTTTGCAAATCTATAGAACTTATCGCGAAACAAATACATTTGTGCTTCATAAATCAATTTAAATAACGTGAGATAAAGAGAACGTTAGCTCTTATATATTCAAATTATTTGTTTAAAGAGAACATATTATTTTTCAATTTCTGCAAAAGATTCGTGATATAAATTGACAAAATAATCAAATTTCAAAAAGTTTTGAGACTAAACGTTTAACTGAGAACTTTTTCAC